GAGAGAGGCCAGCTCAGCCCACCAGGGGGCGCGGCTGGCTGGCATGTGGTGCTGGGGGATTGAACCGCGGTCCCCGATGCTTTTGCTAAGCTTGTTCCAAGTAGGTGCTTTAGACCACTGAGCCATCTCTCCAGCCCCGGATTTGTGAGTATTAATAACCATAATAAAGCAGATATTTATTGAACATTAATTTTGTACTAGGTACTGACACTTACAGATCTTCAATTTATTAATTGATTAATTGTGCTATTTTGTTTTATCCTTGTAACAGTTCTCTGACTTACGTGTTTTTATTAGACCCATTTTACAGATGAGGATACTCAAAAAGTGAAGTTACTTTATCAGAGTCGTAGAATTGTGCTTTACTCTTGCTACTATGATTCTGAATGCTCTGGATTGTGTAATTGCAAAGTCCTGTTAGCTCTAGTGCATGCGTGGTGATCTGAATTCCCACATCCCCCTGCATAGTTTCAGCATCCAGTAAAGTTTCAAAGCTAGATGCAGATAGATGGTAGATGAGTTTAAAGAACAATCACTTAACAGGCACAGCAACACTGGGAAATTTTCTTTCTTTAACGATGGCTCAGAATAAAAGTTAGGATCCCTGCTTGCAATTACATTGATGGGTACTTCTGTCTCTTTAACAATAAACTCCGTGCTCTGCTCGCTGCCTGCCTCTTTCCCCCATCACCCCTGTGTGTGTGGATGTGGGTGGCTGCTATGGCAACTCTGAATATAACTCCTGCTGCCAATGCAGGCTTTACAGTCAGGTTCTGCCATTGTACTTGCATTTAAATACAAATATATTTCTTCCCTCATTCAGCAGAGACAACTTGGGCAGACTTTATAATAGAAATTTTTGGTGTTTTCAACTAATGTTTATCAGAATTTTGATACGTAGGAAAATAGGAGAAAACAGCCATATTTTCCACAGTATTCTCTGTGGAAATAGTCTTATGACTATATTTAGAAATTATTTAACATTTTATAAACATATGTAAGCTCATAAACAAAAATAAATTAGCCCCATTATGAAATATTTGGATGAAATTGAAGAATATTTGATGCTTCCAAGTGGATTAGTAAATAAAATTAAGGAATTTGAGTTAGCCTTAAGCATGTGACCTCAGTAAAGGTACTGATAATAATTTGACAAAACAGCTCTGTCTGCTTTACTAAAAACTTTCAGGGAAATAAAAATACTCATGTCTATTTTTCCAAGTGCTGTTGGTTTTTTAGGGGGAAATATCTCTGAAGGTTATTTAACCTTCAACTATCAACTTCATAATTCAGTGTTAAATCACACAAGAATAATATTTAAAGTTAGATTTTTGTTATTTCTTTTCCTGTAAAGTTAGCAGTGATTTTTTTTCCAGTTAAAAGAAAACAAACTACCAGGCTGAGAATGACAAATCATCTTTAGTAACTGTCCACTTAACCCATAGATCAGTGGGACACAAAGGCCTAAAATAGTCTCTTTAGGTCACTTCCAACTGTGACCTTATTTTCTTTTTTAAATTAAAAGAAGAAAAAGGCCAGACAGCTACATTTTTTGGCCTCAGTTTCCATTATATATCACTTCATTGCAAACCATTCCAGCCCTCAAAGCAACAATAGCTATCTGCTTTACTCAGGATTCTGGGCATTGACTTATGTCTTCCTGCTGGCCTGGCCTGGGCTTCTCCCCTGGTCACAGTCAGCTGCGACACCTGGGATCAGCAGCAGCTGGGGCAGCTCAGATACTGTGCCTCTGTCTTTCTGGAAAAATCTTTCTTCAGGTCACCTTCCCCGAGAGTCTTGTGGTGCAGCCTCCCCAGAGGGTGTCTTGAGGGTCGGGTTCTTCAGCTTTCTGAACATCACCATCATTATAGTCTGTCTTTCCAATAAACCCCAATGGCTGCTCAGACTGTTGTGGGTGAAGAAGACTCTACCACTAGACGGGACATGCCCTTGAGGCAGATCATGAAGAAGTGAATATATTGGAATAAGAGGAATTTGTGGACATCCAATAAATGATCAGTGTTTCTCCAAAATATTAGTGGAAAAATAGGCTGTCATTGTCCTCTGTCCTTCTCCTCACTGGTGGGCATAATCCTACCCACCCAGCCACATTTTAGTGACAATAAAATGAGGTGCATATTGTCACATTGACGGTAAACTTCAGAGTCCCATGTGTAGTAGCTACTGTTCGCAGGCAGCCAAGACAAAGACTGAATAAACACAACCCACTGCTGTTAGTTTGCCTACTCCCCTTTTGTGACATTTCCCCCTAATTCTTTATAGAGGTACAAACAGCCTTCAGTCTGGAGCACAGGAACTTGGGCAATGCATGCCAGTGTACCTGTAGCAGTTGATTTCTGAGACTCATTGTAAATGGCATTTGGAGGACAAGGACTGTGGTGGGGAAAACAATCTCTGGGATGCCTTCCTGTGTTTGTCTTTACTGGCCGGTGGGACCTACCTGCCACCAAACAGCTAGCTTCTAACACTTTTATGTTCTATATTTCAAATGAGACAATTTGAGTAAGTGTCTTGTCTACTGGCTACTGTACCAAAAATATTTATTGAATGTGCACCCATCCCATAACTGCTATACCACTACTGTAGTTATTGGTGTTCTAGCCCCTATTACTATTTGACTGATTCTTCTGTTAGCCTTATGCTAAGGACATAGTAGGGATTAGAGAAGGTTCA